CCTAAAAAAAGCGGCGGAGCGGGAAAAACGCAAACAGTCAATCATCAAAAACGAAATTGACGTGAAACGGGAATCAGCCGAGGAAGCCCTTCAGCACATCCAGCGTAGCAATGATTTTATAGCTCGAGAAGGAGCAGCAGCAACAGCAGCAGTGCGGGAAAATGATGTGCAACTACTTCGAGAACGTGAGATAGTTATGGGTAAACTTTCCCCAACTGGTTCAAGTCCCGTTCGACGAACAACTGAACCGGATGCTGGTTCGATTTCTTCTTTTCAACGAACTGTTAATCCGATTGGATATGTTCGGCCCGAGGCTGAATCTACAAGTTCTGTTGATCAGGGGACCAGTTATTTTGCTGCTACTGCTGCTGCTGCTGCTGAGACGACTAATCCGACCAGACAAGATTTTGTTCAACAAACTGAACCATTTGGGCAAGCAAATGATCCCAATCAACAGCAGCAGGGCCTGTATCAGGATGATTTTTCGGGACAATCGATGGACACAAGTTATGAATATGATGAGGAACAACCGATGGATCCACAGGTTCCCACCGCGGCGCCGGGGGCCGCTCCAACGAGCTTTATCCGCCAGACTGTTAATCCAAACGGATCTGTTCGACACGGCGGTGTAAATGGTATTATTGTTGGATGTAATAACGTCAGACCGTTCAGAGGACGAAGCGAAGATATAGCTGAAGTTAGCGGCTGGGATCAGCTACAAGACGACTTAAGTGCCCGTCAATCTCAGAACACAAATGGCTCAAATAGCTGGAGGAGCGATCCGGCCGAGTCCAGGGACTCACCGAGTCAAAAACGGCTCGTTGTTGACTCAACAGCAAATACTTCTGACCGAAATAACATTGATTCGAACGATGATTGGATTCAAAGTGTTGTTGAACGATTCCCAAAAGACAGTGGCAGACCCAAAAACACTACTGCAGCGCGTCATCCCTCATCGCCAGTTGTATCAAGGTTAGTATTTATTCAGTATTTGGTGTTCTTTTATTATGATTTTCTCTTCTATTCTACTTCAAAATACCTTTCTGTTACTTTTATATTTGTGTATTTAATGTTGTCCTGTGTTCCTCTGTTTAGTGTGCTCCTCTTCACTAAGAGCCAGCAACGCCAAACAAACTCCATTAACACATAGAAGATTTCAGGACCCCCGCCCTCTTTCAATCTCTCCTAGCCAGGGATATTCATTGTTTGTATCTTCAGAATTTCTGCAACACTTAGGAGATACGTCCAAATGGTATTTGGTATTAACATGCTCAACACAACGAAGTCGAAGGATAGAGGAGGAGGGGGGATTTTCATAAGTATCTTTTTAGACTTGTACTTTGGATCGGAATTACATCTTCCAGGGGACGGGACAAATCTCAGGATCGCCAAGAAGTTGACTGCCAGGGAATATACGTTAGAGGAACTGAAGGAGTTGCGGACCGCGCAACTTCGAAGAACCATACAGTCATAGGCGAATCCGGGGCGGTTTCCTTGGGGACAGGGGGGAGTAGGAGGCGATTTTTCATCCCCAACCCCCCAATTCGGCCAGTTCGCTATCCACCCTTTGATTGTTGCACTGGACGGTATCGAACAAGGTTTTCTGCAGTAAAACAGCTGCTGCTTGAGCTCGTGCTGAAAGACCCCTCACCCCCTGCCCCCTTTGGATCCGCCAATGCATAGCATGAGTTAGAGGGTTAAAAAGAATTTTCTGTTTCTTTAAATGCATACAGATTAATGTTAGTTGCAGAAAT